TACGGCCCTCTAAATCCACAACTTTGGCATGTAGCTTGTCGTTAGCATCACGTAGCTTAGCACAGGAGGCCTCGAGCTCTTCTAAACGGTGGTCTACGGCTTCTGCACCTTCCTCCAAAGACGTCGGTCGAACATCGTGGTTATCGAGAGAGTCCTGAAACCCATCCAGCTTCTCGTGAAGTTTGTCGATGGAAGCATTCAGCTCCGTTAACAGCACATCTTTGTTTTCAGCTAGCGCGGTCAACAGGTCTGCCTTGCTGATGCCGTCTCCATCTGATTTTTCGCCCCCTTTCGCCAGTTTCGGAGACATTTTGCATCACAACAGGACAAATACGAATTAAAGGAAAAACGGATAGTATCAGAAGGCTTATTTTGGGGGAAAAAAGGTGGTCAAAAAGTTAGAATATTTACGGGAGAACGAACAACGCTCGTCCTACTCCTTCATGACCCGGAAGTCGAAAAGAAAAACTGATCTATCAACAGCGTGCTAAAAGGATTTGGTCTTTAAAACATGCTAAATAGCGCCTCTTATCCATTTAGTACTTTTTCTGCAATGAATATGCAATATGGGGCGTTTACACGCAAAAGTGCGTCTTGTGGGAGGTGAACATGTAAATATATTAATTTAGCACTCGCAAAGTGATTTATCAAACCTGAAAGCAATTTTGCTAACGGTATCTGACTCTATATTTAACACATTTCAAAAGAAGATGCAAATGGTCTGTATGCGTAATTGCGCACACATGGCAGCGGTTATTGTCGCAAGAAGGAGACATCGAAATGAAGCAGGGAGACGCAGAGAATGCATTTTTTCACTCTGTGTCAATATTTTTGGAATGAACGTGGAAACGATCATCAAAACATATCGTTTATCCAGCATTTCCATTTTGAAGCTGTTGGGGGAACTCCGAATGGATTTGGAGCCAGCCACAAGGAGGACCCACGCAATACCAGATATCACAAAACTCCTTGCAACATTGCACTTTTTTGCATCTGGGTCATTCCAGCGTACGGTTGCAGCGAGAGCTGGGATCACCCAATCTCGTTTTTCAGAAGTGCTGTCCGACGGGGTCGGGGTTCTCCACCTGCGCCTGTGGAGCAACATGCCAATGCTGCGGGGATGCGTAATCTCATCCACAGTCACTTCTTCTGAGCCATTTGGTATGTGCATTTTTCTACAGGCCAATACAAAACACCTGTTTTTTTTTTTTGTTTTTTGTTTTTTTGTTTTTTTACTGCAGTGAAGTAGAAATTCAGCCACATACCACCTTAGGGAATAAAGGTTGCCAAAGTTTTTTCTTTATATCACTGTAAGATTTAAATTTCTTAATGCACTAGTTTGTAGAAACTACAAACTACTTTGCCGCAAACCACAAAACGTGCAAAACCATCATTTAAATAGGGCGTCTCCAACAGTTTTGCACCTGCCACCAGTTACGCAATCGCTCTTGTTAAATCACCCGCAAACCATGGTCCAGCCCCTCGCGCAAAATTCCAGTTTGCGAGCGCAAATTACTGCACGCAAAATTGGATCTTGATAAATCTGGCCCTATGTTGCCACAAAGGAGGCACTACGAAGGACCAAAATTTACATAATGGAAAATAAGAGAAGAAATATATGCATTGTATTTATTTTGTTTTCATCTCCTTATAAATGCATTTTTTACCAAGAACATCATATATTATCCCATTCTTTTTTCCTGTGTTTTTATCAAAAAATCTAAATTTATATTTTTTCATTTTCCAAGCCTTTGTTTTTTTTTTGCATTTCACTGTCTCCTCCTTTTCCTTTACCTTATGCATTTTTGCCATTCATTTTCTACTACTTTTTTTTTTCTCCAATGCAGAGCTGTAGATGTAGAAACAGTGGGGTTGGGTTTTGGAATTGCTTACCATTTTCTCCTATTGGCAGAGGTTAGTAGCTGCTGGTGTCTGTGTGGCTATAGCAAAGCTAGTACCAATGGCTAACTTCCATCATTTTCTTGATAAGAGTGGTTACAGATTTGGCAGCAGAGTAGTAAAGTTAGCAGCAGGTAATACAATTAGTCGTAGTGTTGTATGTAGTGTTGACTGTCTACCTCAGATAACATATCAGTTTGCATTACCACAAAGGTTTGTATTAGATTCAGAGGTGCTTACAAAATAAAAGCATGGGCTACAAACAGACTTACAATACGGTACATCAATTCAAACATTTTGAAGGATAATCAGCACCATGTCGAAGAATGTTTTTTAATAATTGCCTGAAGAACACATTTCTACTAATTTAACTGTCCTCCAAGTTGTTACATCTTTTTCGTGTTGTTGAAGTATGAAAAAGTAAAATGACAGCTAGACCCCCAACGGTGGTTGTGGACTTTCCCATAAAATCTAAGGTGTGTAGTGCTAAAGAAATTTAAAAAGTGACAGTCTGGGAGCCAATCCCGTCCCAGCCCCTAAACACTAACCCTATGGACTAACCCTTTGTTTGCGCTTTCCAGTGGCTGATACACCATATTAAGGACCATACCAAACCCTGTCGTTTTCAGGGCGAGTGGACCAGTCAGCCCATTCAAATGCAAATTCAACTGGCTTGCTGCATCTTCTTCAAACTGACAGAAAATAACTAGTTAGAAACAAGAAGAAACATTATGATCCAACAGGGAAGAACCTGAATTCCTATACCGACAGTTGCCTTCCTTTTCACTTTATACCCCCTCAACCTTCAATTCAGACACATTCCACAGCTTGAGTGTGAAAACATTTGGAGTGGCAATTGATATTTAAAGGAATAGTACACCCAAAACATGATTAGCCTTCATTTTCTACTCACCCCCATGCTGAACAACACCCTGGAGTACTTTTTTGATATCTCAAATGCATCTGGAGATCTGGGAGGCTTCTTGCTGTCTGCTGACATTCAAATAATGGAGGTGCCCAGCGCCCGAGGCAGAAAGGTCCATAAAAGTCCACAAAAAACGTGTCAATATTCAATAACGTTAGATTGGATAATTTCTTGGATCTGCATGCTCGCTTTAAAGCGGAAAAGCCCAACCAATTTGGAATACTGGATTCGCCATGTGGAGCCCAGCAAAAAATAGACTCAAGGCTGACCAATAATTCTGTGCAGCTTGCTCTCAAAATAAAAATTTATTTTGGATTTCAGCCTCCCTGTCATCAAAACTCTCCTTGATGTTATGGCGGAAGAGCCCAGAACTGCCAGCTCCCCCCTATCCGTAGACACCTGTGGATGGGTTCAGAACTATAGCCCCAGGTGATAAACTTCACCCCCCCCCCCCCACGCCACCCCCCCCCCCCCCCCCCACACACACACACACACACACACACACAAAACTGATGCTCAGATACCAGATAGACTCACATGCGACTCTCCTATGTTTACCCTCTACTGAAATGTTTGTCTCATGTTGTAAGTGCTTTTCTTTTGCTGAGGTGTTTTTTGATATCTCAAACTGTACCCTGTCAAGGATAAAGTGTGAAATATGTTTTTTTCCCTCTTTTTCCTAAACGTGGCTCCTATCTTTCCACAGAGATAGAAGGCAGTGCCCCACGGCAGGGCCCCCTGGCAGCTGAAATAATGCGCCTAACGTCAGTGGGATGCATGGCAGTCATTTCAGTTACTACTTTTATGGCGATGACACTGAATATGAGACCAAAGAATCACGGACTTCCAGGGCTCAAAACAAAACTGGGCTTGCTGGGAATTGGTGGAGAATTTAAAAAGGAGAAATAGAAATTCAAACGTGGTAAACCTGACCAGATGTCATTTCACTAACTGATTTTCTAGTGATACAACTGATTTCAAGATCAAAGAAATCCCAGACACCCCTGAAGGAGATGAGTTGACAACAGTGCCTATAATAAAAGGGCATGGTGCTTTAAGATCCACTGCCTAACAGTCCTAGTTGCACAAACATTGGAGAAATGTTTTCCATCTTTCAGCTGAAGCTAAAAATTGAAAGATGTATTGAATGTGGGTCAGAAAAGAGATGCTAATAGGGAGGAGAGGTACAACAGAAAGAAGAGCAGAAGAAGATGAAGAAAATACTTTTCAACTAACTAAAAGGTTCCAGGAATTGGAAATAAAGATAGAATTGTTTATGGAATATGGAGAGCCAAACAGGAAGGAGATAGCAGAGGAATAGAAAAGGACTAAAAGGAGGAATAGAAAAGGCTAGTGGGAGCAGAAAAAAAGACAAAGCTTGAAACAAAACAGAGGAGAAGGAGGTGAATGTTATAAGTAAAGACCCTAAAAATGTGAGAGGGATTTATTCGAATTAATGGGCGATGGGTTATGACCCTATATGACCAATGTGGCACAAATCAGAATATCACCCACTGAGTGAATGTGTTTATAATCTTTTCTATAAACTCTATAAACTGTTGCCAGGAAGAAAGATGCCTTAACCTTTAAACTCATCATCAGTTTAGGAATCCTGTCTGGATTTACAAAAGGAGGAATTATAAAGTATCTTAAACAACAGAAGAGTAAGTTTTGAGGAAAGCATTCCCCAGAACTCTTTCTGAAACATTTTACAGAGCAGGACAGTGGTTCAAAAAACACCGGCCTGGCTGGTTGGGGCATGCAGGTCAGTAACCCCCAAACTTGAAGAGTGGTATATATATGTGTGTGTGACTACAGCAGATTCCAGGTCAAACATCAGAGGTCTCTATATATATATAGAAATATATATATATATATATATATATATATATATATATATATATATATATATATATATATATATATATATATATATATATAAAACTCTTCCTCACCCACCTAACTAAAGCTGAATCAAAGCAATACTCTTTCAGTCTAGGTGTGTTTAAAAACACTTATTATTTATTGAATTAGGTATGATAAGAATGATAAGAAATTATGCAAGTAAACATCTCAAGCCTTTTATGGGTCTTTTGAGAATAGGACCCTTTGAGGATGTTCCTGTTTGGATATAACAATCGAATTTTGGAAGACAACCACCCTTTTCTCTGAGGCTTCTCCTGCTGAGCGACCTCAGCGTGGTAGGATTTTCAATTTCAATGTATTATTACTTCCTCAAGTGGTACAGATTGACTTACATGTAAATGTTAATGTGTAATGTTTTATTTAGTATACCTTGAACTTTATTTAAACATCCACTGAATAACTTAACAAATCAAGAAATATTAATAAAGAATTAAAAAAATTTAAAATGTTCATTGATATTTTTACTGTGCTTTAAATACAGGCAAAGGTAATAACATATCATTCTTTACAGGGTTGGCCATCATGTTGTTCAGCTCAAACATCACAAGGATACAAAGCTTTATAATCCTTGGATTCCCTGGACTTTCACCTCAATACCATGGTGCTGCATCAGCAGTACTTTTTCTTGTCTATCTAGCGATTGTAGTAGGAAATATTTTTATTTTAGTTTTTGTCATCAGTGAAAAATCACTTCAAAAACCTACATACTTGATCTTTTGTCACCTTGCGTTAACTGATTTATCATTTGGCACTGTTACTCTCCCAAAGATCATATCAAAATATTGGTTTAAGGATAGCATCATCTCATTTTTCGGGTGTTTTACACAAATGTTCTTTGTTCACTATTTAGGGTCAGTGATGTCATTTCTGTTACTGGTAATGGCTGTTGACAGATTTATTGCCATATGTATTCCACTGCGGTATCCTGTTCTGATCACAAATAACAATATATTTGCTCTTTGTGGATTCGCTTGGTTTATACCTTTACCTCTAATGATCATCGTAACATTGCAAGCCCTCGGTTTACCTTACTGTCAATCAAACACAATCTTACAGTGCTACTGTGACCACATCTCGTTAACGAACCAGGCATGTGGAAATGATTTGAAAATTGTGCAGGTGATTACTCTCTGTATTGCAATGTTTTGTCTTTTGTTGCCTCTTGCGTTCATCTTGATTTCCTATGTTTCTATTATTATAGTCATTTTAAAAATGTCTAATTCTGCAGGGCGCAGCAGAACTTTAGGAACTTGTACTCCACAAATATTCATAACATGTCTGTTTTATCTCCCTAGGTGCTTTGTTTATGTAGCTAATACTGTACGGTTTTCTTTTAGTATAGATGTTCGTATTTTATTAATTTTGCTTTACAGTCTACTTCCTGCTGCAGTCAACCCATTGATATACTGCCTCAAGACTAGAGATATAAAGCGTACTTTGATGAAGAGAATAAAAACAAATAAAATTAGAGTAGAATTAAAAATCCGCAATAACTGATTCTTACAATAAAAATTTTGATGACACAACAGTGAAATGTTTTTAGCGCTAATCCTTCACAAATGATTATTTTTCTTAGAATAAAAATAAGAAAAGAAATCAAACAAACTTCAATAAAAGAATATCATATTGTATGTGCACATCTTTTTTTATTCCTAACAGTGTGGATGGTACAATAACAGAGCTTATGGGGATATTCATTTTTGAGATTTCAATTTTAAGTTGATTAAAGCATTTATGGTGGGGGAAAAAATACAGTTAGATCTTAGGCCCTTTTTGTTGTACAGTAGTAAAAACTCTTTGGCAATATGGTAGGAAAGTTTGAAGACTGAAGTAATAATTTAAAAGTTTAAATATCTATGAGATGTCTACTCATGCAACCTTTTCTTGGTAGTGTACCTTAAGCACACTTAAATTTAAATACTTATGATCTTGTCCAATCTCAAAGTTTAGGTTTTGGGTGTTCTTAGAATTTGTAACCTGCCACTAAAATATTCATTGTAAAGCATACCCAATAAACAAGAGGAAAGATTCTGCTAGTCCATTCAAATTTTTTTTCTTTCACTGAAAATAGTCACCCTGTCTTTTTTCCAAATACGTTTATTTTAAATATCCCTTTCGTAAAACAGTAACAACAGATATAAAAGATAAATGTAAATGTACCTTGTGCTTGATGTAGCTAGGCATCTAGAATTAAAACATTACAAAACAATCTTACTAAGTGCAACTTGATCAAAGATGTTGTTACTAAAAAAGATAAACTAATATGGACAGCTCTGCTTTCTTCCTGCTTCACGGTAAGAAAAGATGATTGGCTCTTGGTTTGGAATGGTTTGTAATGCATTAAAAAAATAAAAATAAAAAATAACACTATTGTCACCAAATGTTTTAAATATAGTTTACTATTAATACCTAAACGTACCTTAATGTACTTGTATGGATATTTTTCTTTTCCTGGATTTCTTACCACAACAGGGTCAATATATATTCAGTTTGCAGTTTTTCATTTCATACGTATTCCTTCAGGTTGAAGATTTTATTCCATGTTTGTTTATTTCAGGTTGAGGATTTTTATTTATTTATTTAATATTTCAGGTTAATGTTTATAATTTATTTATTTATCTTAGGTTGATGTTTTTCCTTTATTATTTATGTCAGGTGGAAGTATTACTTAATATTTATTTCAGGTTTGATTTTTTTGTATTTTTTGTATGGGGGCCTCCAAATAACATTTTTCTTAGGGGCCCAATTTGGACAGGGGCACTAATTCCAATGCTTCTCTGTGTGTATATAGAACAGGGGATAAAGCATAACATTAAAACAGAAAATTTCAGGTTTGAGTAAAAAAAAAACAAAAAAAAAACAGAAACCTAGTACTAAAATACACAATGAATTGCATGCATTACGCAACAAGCGATGTAGGTACGACAGTCATCTTTGTTTGTAAAACTGTAAACCATCCGGGAAAAGCTTCCATTAGGGATCCATGGTGTCTACATATATAATGTAATAACACACAATGTGGTGAAGTTAATTCAGATAAGAGTTTGTTAGGTGTTTAAGAAAGGTGCAGTAATAGCGAGGTAGTGGATTTAATTGGAAAAGAGTCTTACTGTGTTGCATCTAAAGATTTATTCTTTTCCTTTACACAGTTTTAGTAGGTGCATTAGGGATATTGTGAAGGGTTTTATTTACTTCTTTCTATGACTAGTAGTCATTTGAAATTTGTGTTTAATATTTAATCACTGTTTCTACAACTGCTGTGATCTAAACTGATTATGTTATACACTAATGTAACAAGGATAAAAAACTTTTTCATAACTGGATTTCCTGGTCTTTTGCCAAAGTATTATGGTCCTGTTTCAGGTTTGCTTTTCCTGCTTTATTTGGCTATAGCTGGGGGAAACATTTTTGTTTTAGTGTTTGTTAAACATGAAAGGTCTCTTCACAAACCCTCATATCTCATCTTTTGCCACTTGGCACTAACTGACCTGATGTTTGGAACTGTGACTCTACCAAAGGCGATATCGTTATACTGGTTTGATGGGAAGTTGGTATCATTTTTCAGTTGTTTTGCCCAAATGTACTTTGTTCATTTCTTAGGAGCAACTCATTCTTTCATTTTGATGGTAATGGCTCTGGATCGCTTCATAGCAATTTGTTCGCCGCTGCATTACAATTCACTTTTCACAAATACAACTGTTTATGTGCTTTGTGGAATATCATGGTTTATGCCCTTTTCGTGGATGTTTGGTGTAGTTTTAGATGCATTGAGTCTACCTTTTTGTAATTCGAATATAATAGTTCATTGCTACTGTGACCACATATCAATATTTAAACTTGGATGTGAAAATGCACATATTTCTGCAGCTCTGGGATTGGGCCTTGCAATGTTCAGTTTGCTGGTACCTCTGGGTTTTATTATTTTCTCATATTTCATTATCATTGTTTCTGTCCTGAGAATATCCTCCTCAGAAGGACGCATTAAGGCTTTGTCAACCTGCACACCTCAGGTCATCATCACCTGCCTTTTCTATTTTCCAAGGTGTTTTGTGTATTTGGCAAACTTTGTGGGATACACTTTCAGTGCCTCGGCTCATGTAGTTATTGTGATGCTTTACAGTCATTTACCCGCAGCTGTAAACCCGATAATATACTGTTTCAAAACAAAGGACATCAAAGAAAGCTTAAAAATAAGATTTTTCACTGCAAAAAATTTTATCACCTCAAAAGTTAGTTGAATATTGATCCAAATAAGGAGAACCCAGAAGAAAGACAAACACATTTTAACAAATGTAGCTTACACAATAAATAATTTTGTATATCTTAACTATGTCAAAATTGATGAGTTATATATTTTGAATATGATTTTCTCTAAAATGAAATGCATTATTGAATTACTTTGTTTTTCTTTAATCTTTTAGTGTGTGGCATTCATCAATCTAAATGTGTTATGAGTAATTTTCTTTGAAATATGTTTAAATGTGAAATTCTCTATTGTTATCAAGCTAATATGAGAATAAAAAAAAACATTTATACCTATAGGGTAAATATATTCCTTATTACAAAAAAAAAAAAAAAAAAAAATATATATATATATATATATATATATATATATATATATATATATATATATATATATATATATATATATATATATATATATATATGTATACATCATATAGGCAACTGAATTTACACACATGTAGACTGCATTATACAAATCATGGGATTTCCATTAATGCATGTTTAGAAATACTAACTTGTGTTTTTGAGGGATGACTATTTTGTCCCGAAACACAATAAACAAACCACATTATTTATATTTAGATAATAATTGCATAGAAATAAGTAATTCAATTTTAAGGATTCTTGAATACAATACTAAAACCAGAAAGAAAACCATTACTTAGAGTTACTTCTATATGATACTTTACTTACATAGCACTTCAAAATAGAATGTGGACATCAATTTGCTAAACACAAAGACTGAATCAAAGACTACATAAATAAATAAAAGTAGAAACAAATTACTTTAAAAGTAAAATGATATACAAGTGAATGGAGCAACAGAAAAACATGACATAGAAAGAAAGAAAATAAAAAATGAAATTTATAGTAGCCTAGGTGAAGAGTTGTGTCTAAAGAGCAGATTAGAAAATGGCTATTTAAGGGGCCTCCTGTAAATTGCAATGGTAAAATGTTGGATTTTGCAAATCATGGAATACAACTATGACTTAACCTGTTGGCAGAGCTCACATTTTAGTTAATCAGCATGTGTTATGTAGCTTTGGTGAACCTATTTTATTTTATTATTTGTGATTCATCACAAATAAACTTGTTTACATTAAAACAGAGCTGTTAATTTCACTGCAATCAGAATCAGAATAATCAGAAATACTTTAATGTAATTAAGGGAAATTACTTTTGTTACATGCTCCAGATACAGTTTTTATATATATATATATATATATATATATATATATATATATATATATATATATATATATATATATATATATATATGCATATTTAGAGCTAAATCCAAGTAAAGTGATAGTGACATGCAAAATAGTTACATAAATTACATTACATAAATATAAACAGAAGATATGGTTGATGGTCCTGACATTCTGAAACATGTGGCACTACTTCATTGGTTTTAATTGTTTAATAGCTTTACGAAACAATTTGGAAAACAGTGCAATAAACCTTTGTCAAATTTAGAAATAAAAGTTCCATATCTAAGAGTGAGTTAAAAAGTGTCTTTTTTAAAATAGTAGTTCTTATATTCTTACATTACAAACCCTAAAAGACTAGTGATTACCAATATTACTAAAAAAGAATTTGATTTAGTGCCAGCTATAACAAATGATGAAGGCTGTCCACACATTTTTTTTAACATTCTTTCAGAAACACAATTGTGAGGTCACAAACTGATGTTGGATGAGACAACCTGGGTCTCAATCGGCCCATGTAAATCCATGTATCAGCCCTTACTGCTGTATAATTGTAATGACCTCAGAAGTGGGACCCAAAATTCTAGGTGAGAAAGGCAGTGGGAAAGCGTTTAGACTAAAATAAACAGAAACATGGGGCTGCTTGTCAGCTGTGGGGCAAATCTCTGATTTAAAGTTCAGTCTGCTCCCAGAGGAAAGAGTTGAATCTAAACGTGAGGTTACCCCCCAGCTTGCGGCGGGCAGCACCCCACCCCCCAAAAGTTCCTAGAGAAAGAGCAGAGAAGGCGCCAACCGACGCCAAGAAGCAACAGTGCCCTTGAGGGGAAATCCAAAGCCAGAGTCAGAAGACAGGTCTAAGTTCAGACGCCAGTAGAACCCAGGAATCAGTCCAGAACAAATCAAACTAACAAAGCAGACAGGGGCAAAGCAAAACCCGGGATTCACAGGGTTTTTTTGTCGCACAAAGAGTCCCAGATGCTGGGCAGGTGGTGGGCAGTGGTGTCAAAAGTACACACATTTGTTACTTAAGTAGAATTATGGTACAGCAGTGTAACTGTTGTATCAACTTCACCTCTTTACTCAAGTAAAAGTGAAAAAGTATGTGCTCCAAAAAACTACTAAGGGCCGGATTTATCAAGATCCAATTTTGCGTGCAGTAATTTGCGCTCGCAAACTGGAATTTTGCGCGAGGGGCTGAACCATGGTTTGCGGGTGATTTAACAAGAGCGATTGCGTAACTGGTGGCAGGTGCAAAACTGTTGGAGACGCCCTATTTAAATGATGGTTTTGCGCGTTTTGTGGTTTGCGGCAAAGTAGTTTGTAGTTTGTGCAAACTAGTGCATTAAGAAATTTTAATCTTACAGTGACACCCCCACCCCCTCCAATTAAAAATAAATAAATAATAAAATAAAATAAAAATAAATATATATATATATATATATATATATATATATATATATATATATATATATATATTTTTTTTTTTTTTTTTTTTTTTTTTGCAGTAAAAAACAAAACAAAAAAAAAACAGGTGTTTTGTATTGGCCTGTAGAAAAATGCACATACCAAATGGCTCACAAGAAGTGACTGCAGGACTGTGCCTACGCATCCCCGCAGCATTGGCATGTTGCTCCACAGGCTTAAGGAGGAGGTCGGGGTTCTCTCCGTTAGGGCGTCAGGGCGACAAAGCATTTAGAACGTCGGACAGCACTTCTGAAAAAACGAGATTGGGAGATCCCAGATGCAAAAAAAGTGCAATGTTGCAAGGAGTTTTGTGATATCTGGTATTGCGTGGGTCCTCCTTGTGGCTGGCTCCAAATCCATTCGGAGTTCCCCCAACAGCTCCAAAATGGCAATGCTGGATAAACCATATGTTTTGATGATCGTTTCCTCGTTCATTGCAAAAATATTCACACAGAGTGAAAAAATGCGTTCTCTGCGTCTCCTTGCTTCATTTCGATACATCCTTCTTGCGACAATAACTGCTGCCATGTGTGCGCAATTACGCATACAGACCATTTGCACCTTCTTTTGAAATGTGTTAAATATAGAGTCAGATACCGTTAGCAAAATTGCTTTCAGGTTTGATAAATCACTTTGCGAGCGCTAAATTAATATATTTACATGTTCTCCTCCCACAAGACGCACTTTTGCGTGTAAACGCCCCATATTGCATATTCATTGCAGAAAAAGTACTAAATGGATAAGAGGCGCAATTTAGCACGTTTTAAAGACCAAATCCTTTTAGCACACTGTTGATAGATCAGTTTGTACATTTTTTAGCGTGTGCAGTGAAATAGCTCACGTTTTAATACACGCAAACCTTTGATAGATCCGGCCCTAAGAATATAAATGTATAAAGTAACCTTTAAAAAAAAACAGCCAGATGCCACTAAATTAACTGAATTTTCGACTATTTCGAAAAATTCTTTGAGATAGGGCCAAGGATGAGGGAGGTCTTGTTGGTCTCCATCTCACGATACGCTCTCGCCTGTGTCCGACCTTTCAGACATTTCAACATCTTTTTCCGAATCCGACATTGTAGCATGGCATAGACAATTCATGTTTGCAGTTTGAAGAACACCTGCTTGCTTCTGATGATTTCCTTAGGTAACCAATAAGTGTTTTGGTTATGCGACTCATCCAACTACACTAGTTTTCCCTAGACACAAAAGTGTGAGTATATATACTTACATACACACACACACACACACACACATATATATATATATATATATATATATATATATATACATATATATATATATATATATATATATATATATATATATATGTTTGATGCAGCAAACAAATACATTTTAACTTCTTCTTTGTAACACTGAACATTAAATATGAATTTTGATTAGAGGTCATAGAAAAACAAATTGAAAGAAGCATTTTGAGGTACTTTGTCTTGGTGTTTTATCCAAAATCTAAACCTGTGATATATTTATTATTGATATATCATAGGTATGTTAAAGTATGGCATAAATATATATTGTTTATAATTATGCATCTCATTTTGACATTGTTTTTTGACTGCAGGGGCACTTATTGTAATGCACCATGTATGAACCACAGTGTTTTACATTTGTGTGTGTGTTAGACAAGACCGTCGTACGGATGAAAATTTGTGACAGGATACTTGTCATCTATTGGGATTCATGCTGGAGAAACCAGAGTCGGTAGGGTCTTAAGAGAGGTGCACCAGCCTTACCATCATTTGCGACAACATGTCAGTGAAACTGGCTATTTTAGATTAAACACTGTACCAACTCAAACACTGTTTTTATAATAGATTTTTAAAAATATGTATTCACTGCACAGGGTGCCCGTAATCTGAACCCCATCCCCAGGCATGGACTGGTAATCGGGCGTACCGGGCATTTGCCCTGTGGGCCGACGTGCTGTTTTGGCCGGTCAGATTTCAGTTGTTTTCTCATCAATATGCGAGAGTTTAGAGCGATGCGCGCTCCCGCGTGAGGGGATGCAAATCTCGGCATAACACCTGTACCGCTACATATTAAAACAACAACCGTATTTTATTTTCATTTAGATGGCAAAACAAAACTCAAACGCTGTTGATTTTCTATTAATTTGATTTTTCATTTTTTCGATTTAGGTTTTAAAAACGGAAAAACAGAAAAACCACATGCTTGTTTTGTTTTTTTCGTTTTTGTTTTGAAACGAAAAAAACAAAGAAAAACCATACACGAATTTCTTTTCTTTTTAATTTTCAATACTTTCAATCTAGTAGCCTTGAACATCGATTGTGCTTTCTGTTTTTCCTGGGACTTCAGCATACAGTGGACTTCACCACGGTGTCATCATTCCTCACCATGGCTGGTTCTAGACAGGGGCCAACGGGGGCCAGTGCCCCTGTAGATGATGTCCTGGCCCCTGTACTGAAGACATAATACTTAAAAGAAATTCTAATGATGATATGCGCTGAAACAGACATGGTTACTGATAGGCCCTTTGGATCTATTTCATTCTTTTTCTTTACAAATTCTGTTTTACTAATTATTCCAAAACAATAAGCTGATAGCTTCAGTGGTATTTGGATAGGATCCCAGTTTTCATCTGCTAAATGTTTTTTTTTCCCACAATAAATAAAAAATGCCCTAATTGTTACAAATTAATTGTACAGTTTTTCTTGAGTTCTAATTCAAATTTTATAGAAAACGGTAGTTTTAACATAAATTAAGTCAAAAATATGTAAAATTCCTAAATTATAAATGTATATTGATCTAATACGTAATAGAATTCTATTGGACCTCATTGAAAATAAATTTCACTTCATGCACTGCAAAAAATATAAATCTCAATAAGTTATTTTTTCTTAAAATAAGTGTGTTTTTCCTTGATTTGAGGAGGTAAGTAAGACACTTTGCCAATGGAACAAGACAATTTCCTTTTAAAATAAGAAAAAACTATTTTATCGTCTTATTTCAAGTAAATATTATCTAACTATCTTATTTTAAGAGTGAAAATACTCATTCCATTGGCAAATCATCTTATTTACCTGCTCAAATTAAGGCTAAATATACTTAATTTAAGCCATTTTTTACTTATTTCTGGATTGTTTTTGCAGTGTGCAGCTCTCTTCATATATTTGAATCCCTTGCCCTGTTTTTTATTTCATGCTTTTCTGTGCCCCCATGAAAACACGCTGGCCCCCTCCTTGCCCCATGGTACATTTGGTCTAGATCAGCACTGTTCCTCACCTTCACTAGATGTGGTTATATTCTGCTGTAATTGCTATATTATATTATATTATCGTTTTGTACTCAAGGATTGATCCTCTGCCGACTCAAAGGATGCACAGCTTTAAGTGGTAACTAGGGGACTGCCAATCCGGGATAATTTATCCGACTTGCGGGCATCGGTGAACAACTATCTACATCAGGGAGACTCCTGGAACTTCCGGGAGGCTTGGGATGTCTGCTAGTATTATCCATGTTTCTGAACCAGTGAGTGGGTTGTGTTCCCTTGTATGTGCTGAGTGCTCTGCTCCTCACCTCCTCCATATAGATATTGGAAACAATAGATGATAGTGGGGATACCATGGCACAAAAGCGTCATCAGGTCACAAATCTGGTTAGGCCTGTATTTCAGGGTTCCATCATGTTCCAATTGTGTACTGACTTTGTTCACTGCCTCTAATGTGGGAATGCAAGTTAAGAAAGAAGTTGCATCAAAAGAAACAATTTCACAGGGAGCAAATCTCTCAAATGCTGTTTTTTGGAAATAAAGTCTATGGAGTATTGTATGTGGTGTGGAGTGATTCCAACAAATGGAGCCAAAATTGTTGCACAGTGTATTGCAATATTGAGTGTCACTAAGTTAATGCTGGAGTTATTTCTTTTGTTATAGGAAAAAACAATTGCACCATAGTCTGTAGACTACTTTGTATGTTTAGACAATCACAGCTGAGCTGTAACTTTGTTATCGAGAAAAGCAAGAGGTGCTCCTCTGCTAAAATGGCTCATTTGGGATTTGTTTGTTTCCATAAATCACTTGGCACACACTATCAGCCATTGGTGCAGTGAAAGGATAAAGCAGGGTTACTTTACTGGAAACGGACACATCAATTCACCTTCTTTGCTGATGCTTTTGTTGGTTTTCCGAAGACATGTTTTTATATGTTTTAATGTAGATGCTCTTTTTGTTTCAAATCTAATTAGTCCTTCAAGCTTTGTGCTTTATATTAATTTTGTTCACTTCTTTTTATTAAATGATATAATGAGTACTAATGAAACAAAGATAACAGATTTTTTCCTTTTAGGATTTCCAGGACTTTTGCCAAAGTTTTATGGACCTGTTTCTGCTCTGCTTTTTCTATTCTATTTGGCTATAGCTGGTGGAAACATTTTCATTTTAGCATTTATAGCATGTAAGCGATCTCTTCAAAAACCTTCTTATTTCATATTTTTCCATTTGGCATTAACTGACTTATTGTTTGGAACTGTAACCCTGCCAAAAGCTATATCAAAATACTGGTTTAATAGTAGCATAGTTTCATTTTATAGTTGTCTTATCCAGATGTTCTTTGTTCATTTAATTAGTGCAGCTCATTCTTTTATATTGATGGTGATGGCTCTGGACCGTTTTATAGCAATTTGTTCTCCACTGCGTTATACCTCCCTGTTTAGTAATAAAACTGTTTCCTTGCTTTGTGGAATATCGTGGCTAGTGCCGACATCATTTATGATTACAAATATGTTTGAAATTTTGAGAGTACCTTTTTGTAACTCAAATATAATTGTCCAATGCTACTGTGACCACATGTCAATCTCAAATCTTGGATGTGAGTATGTACGAGAAGTTAAGACTATTGCATTAATTTTTGCAATGATTAGTTTGTTGGTGCCCTTGGGATTTATAATCTTATCCTATTTTGTTATTATTGCTGTTGTCCTAAAAATATCTTCCCCTGGAGGCTGCATAAAGACACTGTCTACTTGTACCCCACAACTTATAATCACATGTTTGTACTATTTGCCAAGATGCTTTTATTACCTGGCAAATTTTGTGGGATACACTTTCAGTGTTCCTGTTCAAATAGTTATAGTAATGTTGTACAGTCATATACCAGCAGCTGTAAATCCACTAATTTACTGTTTGCAAACAAAGGATATCAAGGAAAAAATAACAAAGAATTTTCTCTCTTGGAAAACTTACACCATAAAACCCAAGTAAGACAAATTGGTGAATAGGACAGAAAATGTGACAAGATATTTTTGTCACATTTTTGTTCTCTATTTATACTCTGCTTGGAATTTAGATATGGATGTGTTTATTTCTTTAAAGAGACATACTTTTACTAATTTTGATGAACGATTTTTATTTTTACTCTTCCAGAACTTTTTTTCATTTTCGCTGTGTTTTATTATTTTGTGTTTGTTCATATTGAAAATAACTTTTCCTAAATAAAGCCCCTCTAGGTATCTTAAGTCAAAAGTTAACAAAATGTAAAACACAACTTCATACAAGCATTAATATTTCCTAGAAACCTCAGCATTTAAGCGTATGCAGAACTTACAAAAATACAAATGAAGTAAACAAATTAGTTCAGTAAATAATATTTTTTATTCAAATGCTAAACTAAAACTGTAAAAAGAATGTACCTGCACACGAAATCTGAAACGTTCCAGATTATGTCAACGGTGAATGTCTAGAAGGGATACTATTTTTAGTTTGTTTTAGACAAAAATCTATCTTTATGCACTGGTCTTAGGACTCAAAAATGTCCAGATTAATATCAAGAAAAATGTTTAAAAACAGCATTGGCACCTGACCAGATGATAAGAAAAATATTTTGACAAGTTGAAATGTTCCCACATTGCAACTTCTGTTTCAGTCATCTAGCAAGATTTAGGTAGAATTAATCATCTGCATCTATTCTTATTTTACCTGTTATGTGTTTTAAAAATGGTAGTAGTATATACAGCATTCATAACTAGCACTGCTATTGTAATTGCATACCAACCTATCTTGTCTTCTTTCTTTAAAAGCAGTATCAACTAGTTTAAATCTAGTCATTGTTAAAGTTTAAACTTTGCTGTCTCAATCGTGCATGTACATGTTGTTTTATTCATGTAAAAACCTAAGACTGCATAACTTTTAATATTTTTCACTTTATTCTGACTAACAATGTACAGTAACTATGTGTATAAAAACTGTGATTTGAAAAAAGGATTAAAATTTGCAAATAATAAATATAAAAAGCCTGCTTAGAAAGAATCGCTTTAAGGCCTTTTAAAAGCAGCAACTGTCTGTGCAGCTGTCGTGCGGTCTGGAAAGGATTTTTTTTACTATTAATTCTCTAGGCAATATTTTAGTATAGTAATAACAGTGTTATGCATGTCTTATCATTTTAATGCCCAAATAAGGGTGGCAAATATGTAATTTAATCAGATAACACTCTGCCATATATTGTTTTGTGAAAGAGGCCCAACTGGCTGTGTGTTAAAACAACAAAGGAAAGTGTGAATCAAGCTCAAATCACGGTGAAAAACACATTCACCACAACTTCCACTCAAGATATAAGAATTTATTAAAAGAGATCAATAAACCCCAAGTCAAACACATCTATCTTTTTCACAACACTATCTTTTTCTGTGCATGCACCCTTTCAGGTGTACGGAGCCCCCTGGGTGGCAGGGTAAAAAAAAACAAAAAAAAAAAACGGTGGAAATCCGTGGGCACGGACTGATAAACTGAGCGCACGGTTTTCCAATCCGTGCGCGCAGATTAAGAAACTGTGCTCTTGGTTTATTAATCCATGAGCTAGGATCGATAAACTGAGAGCACAGTTTCTCAATCCACAGGCACAGGTTAATAAACCGAGAACACAGTTTCGTAATCTGTGCGCACGGATTGGAAAATCGTGCGCTCAGTTTATCAATCTGTGCCCACGGATTTCCACTGTTTTCTTTTTGGTTTTTTTTACCCTGCCACCCAGGGGGCTCCATACAGGTGTATATGTGTGGTGAGCTAAAGTTTCACCCAGTCATTGAAATTAACATTTCTCACCACAACTCTTTGAAAATGTCCGAGGGTCGTTAGAGAAAAATTGTCTACAAAGAGTATGAGAAGAAGAGAAAGGCCTCAGAAGAGAGAAACAAGACTAGTCTTCACACATTTTCACCAACTGGTGGTAAGTCTGACATAGAGGAAATTGCAAATCTTCTTTGGGAAAGTAAGCTTGTATGAGCGATGCACAAACAGCAACAGCAACTTTTAAACAGAGCGTGGACAAGGTGAAAAGGGCTGTTGCATGCTCTCGTACGCGTTTAATAGGCGTTCACTGTTGGGAGCAGGTACATGGTTGTGCAAGTGCTTTTTTTTTTAAGTGGAAAGGGCAGTTCTTTTCAAAAATTAAGGAAAATCCTCCCCTATTAATTTTACTGTTATATACACAATTGTTTCACAGACTCTGTTCCCTTGAGTCACATTGCTTTTGGTTCACAATCTGTGTGCCATATTCTGTGTATAATACAGTACTATTATAGCAACTGTGGAGCAATCTTCTCTCTAATTTGTGCCCTTGCACAATATTGCACTGTTCACTCATTCTCAGCACACAAGAGAATCTAAGCAGCACATAAAATAGAATAGAAAATCCCTTTATTGTCCCACAGTGGGGAAATGTTACAGCAGCAGCAAAAGGTTAGAAAATAAAATAAAACTCTAAATACATAAACTGTAAATCAAGATGATTACAGACAGATAATATGAAAAAAAAATGTTGTATGTCATTTTGAATTCATGTATCATTAGTTTCACAACTTAAAATCAACGATAAAAAAAAAAGAAGAAACAAATGGGTCCAGTGTACATGAACCGAAGAGTCCACCCCCCCACCACCCCCCACCCCCCGCGCACAGATTTTGTTACATTATGTGTGGAAACGGCGAACCTTTTGCTTGCGAAAACAAATTCAATGTAATAATAATTTAAAAAGGAGCAGGATATACATTCATCTTTATTTCATTTTGTTTGCGCTCTACCCTCTCAGTCTGCTGGACGTTAGATGTGCATGCCAGCTTTATTGAATAAACAAAATTTAGCTGTTTTAGCTGATGATCCAGCTACTCTTCGATGCCAGTTTAAAAAATTACTATCAAATCAGTTTTATAATAATGAATAATACGTGAATACAAGTGCATAAATAAATAATCCAACAAGAAGAATAATTTTTTACCAATCTAGGCTTACAGAACAATGAAACTCATTGGTTTGTAACAACCTTGTTGTCGAACATGAACACATTTGAACACCTGTTCAATGCACACCGTGATGCTCAGTGTGACTTTTTTTTTCCTGCTAAATTCAAGTACATTATAAAGCACAAAAGTAAATCGGGGTCATAGACTTAGATGTGAGGAGCTAAAGAAGATCTCACAGGTTGCAAATATTTGTGCTACATTTCAAGCATGCAATGCTAATTGTGAAAGATTTACTTTAATGAATCACATCTAAACAGCATCCAATTTGAGAGGATGTGGTTACGTACCCTTTTTTGCAATTATCAGGATCTAGGATGCACTGTTTTATATGTATTGGCATTTTTTGATATTATTGGAGAGAACAGAACAAGACAATCAAATAGACCAGCAGTCCAGTTTATACACTTTCCTGGCCAAAGCTACACTTTGTTTTAAAAATGCATACTGCATATCTCAGTACATATATTTCTTCTAAGGATGATTTATATGTTTTACAAGCACATTTTTAATTTTAATTTATCTTCTCTCATTTTCCCAAGGTGATGAATAACAGTTTAACAGTGTCTTCTAAGTATCTTAATTTTTTGTAATAAAAAAAAATAAAAAAAAACAATTCAAGCAAAACATAACTTTGTTTTAAATCTGAATTATTCCTGCCAAGACCTCATTTAGACCTACAGATCTAAACATATTATAGAACTGTTTGTGCAAGTAGTGTTTCAGATATTATCTATCAACTGTGCACACTAAACTATCCCATGTCAAAAAAATTCCTCAAATAATTTCCTCATCATCACTTTGCATATCACAATGACAACTCACCTGCAATGGTATACATGCAATATGTTCAAACACTGCAGCATAGCTGTCAAAAGTCACTGGCACATTTATATTTGTGACCCACTGTTCAAACATAGAAAAGGGATCACTCTTGGAATTGTCCTGACCTAATGTGGAGGTGGATGTTATTTCAAAGAATAAGGTACCTGGAAAACTACCATTCTGCCTTTTGTTGCACTCAGATGGTAAGGCCTGCTCCTGTCTATAGTATTTCTTGCTAGAATTTATAGAAAACTGACTATCCTCAGACTCCAAGAAAGTAAATGCACTGTCTGTTTCACATTCAGATAAGGTCTCCATTACCGTAGTGGGCTCTATGGGTCTAGACTCAAGTGGAGCATTCAGTTTGATAATTTCTTCAAAAGTGAGTGGTTGTGTTGGCTCAAGGAGCTCTTGTTGAGGGAATTCTTTTGTGTAACAGGGTATTTTTTCCTGCTGTTGCTCAGTATCAAGCTTCCAAATTGATCCTTTGTGTAGTGGGGCAACATTTTGAGACTCTGGGGGGCATTTTTGTTTACCCCTGTTGTCGTTTTTTAACTTATGTAATAGCACCCTCAAATCTCCCCACTGGTTTGAATCATTTTCAAGACATTTTTTACTGCATAAATGTTTGTCCCAGCTGAGTTGTAGTGAGTTGTTGTCAGAATTAATTGCACTGCAAATGCTGCCAATCTCGAAATACTCCAGCTCACTTGGAAGCCTCAGTTGTGGACATGAAAGAAAAGCGTCATTATCAATCTTTTCATCTGACCTTCGCTGAAATGCACTCAGTTGATCATTAGGTCCAACTTTCACAGTAGAAAGAGCAGCCTTTGGCAATTGGATGGAATCAAAGCAAAAATTTATATTTTCTGTTTTTTGCCCACTTTTGCATAGGAAGTTCTCATTGTAATAGTTTGAATCATGTTGTCTTAGTCTATACAGACCCACAGATATACATACAACCACCAGAATGGTGATCAGAGGGAGAACCACCGCTATTACCCATAAAGGCCTTTTGTGCTGTATATTTGAGCACTCTTCATTTACAGTGGAAAGGCAGATATCACAATAATTATGAGAGACATTCTGCAAACAGATGCACGAACTGTTCAGCATTGCAGGTCTACAAATCCTCCGGTTCTGACAGTTTGAAACACAGGTTCTAAAGGTATTTTGTTCATAGCAAGGGGAGAAGAGACAGACACCTGGAGAAATGCAGCTGGACTGGGGGAGAGTTGAACTAGGCAAGACATCCACCATTAAACTTTGTCCAATAATAGGAAGAGTGTGACCATTGATCCTTATGTGCTCCACACATCCATTAAATCCTGTTACCAAAAGAATGTAGAGACATCAAGATTGCTCTTAAGATTCCTCTCCTAAAATAATACAATCACAGACAACTTCACAAAGTATACTTGGTCACTCTGTTAACACAAAGAACAACTTAATATTTTTGGATTTCTTTATGTGGAGAGGATGGTTAGTTAAAGCTAGAATAAAGCATTACAATGAAGAAAAACTGAAATGATGAAATGATAATAAGAATGATAATTTCTCGTCTTAACAGAAAGTTGCAAAAAAAAATCAAGTGAGCTCTTGTGAACTCATGTTGTGTGAAATGATCTTAGATGTCAGAAGACAATAGGCAGACACCTTGTTTAATTTATGCCATAAAAGCCTCAGATTGGTCTAAAGATAAAAGAGGCCTGATCTGGAGCTGGAAAAGTTTACCTGATGAGTTGGTCTGTAACTACATCAATATTACTTCAATGTATCATTGCAAGAACAGCTTAATAAATCAGATAATAAATAAATCAGATTACCTGGATTTTGGAGCTTGGTTTGTCTTTGTGGCACTGCACCGAGAAAAATCTTTTCCAAATGAACAAGTTTTAAGTCCATGTCTCTTTCTGTGACGTTTAAGACCATTTTGTCATCCACAAACAAATAATTGTTACTCCCTCTGCTCAGTAAGGACAGACTGTGCCAGAGCCCATCAGCAACTAAAAAGTCAACTGTTAACTCTGCCTTATGTCCTAAGGTTGTGTCTATGGAAGTGTACACAGGTTTTCTGTCTTTTACCTGAAAAAAAAAAATAAAGAATCATATCTTAATACATCAGTCAGATACATCCTATCCACATGTTGAATATATATCTTTTTACAGACCATCAGCATAATGTTTCCTGTCTTCCCAGGAATAAAGAGTAAGGTTCCTCCCTCTTTTGTTTTGAACTTTATCGTGATCAGAGTTTGGTTTGTTTTGTTTTCTTGTTTAGTATTATCCATTAAGTCTTTGACCAGAAGATCTCTCTTGAATCTTTCTTTGATGACATACTCAATGTATTCACTCTCCTTGAAGCTCATTACAAGCTCTTCGGATATTTCTGTTTCAGAAAGGGAAGTAAACAAGTTCTCAGTTTCAATTTTACACAAAATAAAAACAAAACAAAAAATCTATATAGGTGTAACGCTGTAGACTCAGAGGGATAATCTGTAGTCATCATGACAGCAATACAGCTTCCTGAAACACAGCAATATGGCAGTATGGACCTTTGAGGCCTTGAATCGTTTGTTGTTTCCTTAAAGAAATATACAGGTGGTACAAATACAGTCATCATGGTTCAAGTCAGTGGTCTCTTAAGTTCTCCTGCTGAGCCCTCCTTTTATTTGCAGATTTTCAACAAATCAATTAAGAAAAGTCAACTGCAGTAAACTAAAAATTGTAAAAGTAAACTGGGTTCAAATCACAAAAACAACCAAAAATGTAATTATTTTAAGTTCAACTATATTATAACTAGATTTTAACATTCCTATTAAACATTTTAATGCCCATTAAAAAAATTATTCTAAATAACTCTTAGAATGGGTAATGTTTTTTCACTGTACTAATAATGTACACTTATGTGTGTCCTAAGCCTCTAATTGAATGTCCTTTAATTGAATGTCCTCCAACCTGACAAAAATACACCAAGAGACAAATACTTTTCCATGGCTTACTGAAAGCTGCTCTAAAAGGTGTGGGTATTTACTATTAAAGGGGTCATAGAATGCAAAACTGAGTTTACATTGCCATTGATGAATAATGATAGTTCAGTGGCTAAAATGGACATACTGTACAGAGAAGTTCAAACCCCATCGACACCTCCTTTCTCTGCAAATCTCACAATTCTAAACTTTCACCATAAAACGGGCAAATTCAAACGAAGCACCGAACTGAAGTCAATTCAGGGATGTTGCCTTATTTGGTTCTGGCCTGTACTTTTGTCACGCTCTAAAATTGACATACAGTAAATGCAATGTTGCAGGCTGCACAGAGGAAGGGGAAACTTTTCAAAGTCTTCCATAGAATCCGAAGACTCGACAGGCATGGATGATGTTTGTGTATCAGAACATCCCTGCAAAGTTTAAGGCTCAGCTGTTCATTTGCTCTAAGCATTTTACACAAAACAGGTTTCAAAATCTTGGACAGTTCAAAGCAGGATTTTCTAAACTTCTTTTATTGAGTCAAGGGGCTGTTCTAACCATAAGGCCATCACAACTGTAGCTTTAAGTATGATTCTGTCACTAAGCTGTTGATAGCAATGCTAGCATATCTATGGTAACCAGATTTGGGGATGGAGTGACCGCACCCGAACCGGGTCGCTCTGTCCCCAGCCCCGGAGCTCACAGCTCAGTTCTGCTGCACAGTAGTCGACCAAAATCCCGGACAATTTTGAAATTCCCTCTGGACATTGTTTTAGGTATGAAAAGTAGGACATGTCTGGGAAAAAGAGGACGTCTGGTCACCCTACCATACCAATAATTTGATGTTTCAGTGAGTGAGTGCTTGTTGCTATGTTGTGTCTTTGCTCAGCAGCTTCGCTCGTTGTAAACCAACCAATCATCTATCTCTCTATCTATCCATCCATCCATCTGTCCGTCTGTCTGTGTACTTTTTTTTTTTTACCTGTATCACAGTTTCTTCCTCTAAAGGCAGCTTTGCACTCACAAACATAGTCCGACCAAAGGTCATGGCATATTCCTCCATTCTTGCATGGGGCGCCATTGCATTCTGAAGTTACTGTCCGAAGACACCTTTTTTTGAATAATTAGGAGAAAAAAAATATAAATCTTCCTTGGATTTACTAAGATACCGGTATGTCCAAAAAAGACGGATAAACTTGCTGCATTACAATAGAAAATTTGTTTGTTAATTCATGGTATGTGGTAATTGTCTAAAACACTACCTGTTAAAGACATTGTATGTTGCAAGACCAAAAGAAGGTCTCAGCAGGATGCCATTGATGTAAATATTTCTAATGCATCCAACAAAATCATGTGTTTTTATCTGATTTGGATGTTGTAAAATCAATTCCAGACTCCTCATTCCACCAAATGTCAAGTTGGTAATGCCAACATCCAGAGTCCTAGAAAATGAAAAGATGAAGACAAATCATTTAACTAGGTTGGTCAAACAAGCTAAAAAAAAAAAAAACATACACATTTAACTTGTTTTTATAAGTACTAAATCCAAGACACTCTTGTAGACACAAGAGTTTTTCAAGATCAATCAAACTGTCTGTATGTTATTTTGATTAAACCGTTGACAGATTTTACTTTGTTCCCCAAAGTTACCAATTTTTTTTCATTGCCACTTTTTCTCTCCTTCTATCTGATACATGACATCCTGTGGAATTGCTTCATAGTACCAAACAGGACAGACCAGGGTCTCCCTGAGAATTACAGAGCCACAGTTGCAGAGAACTGCCAGTGGTCTGTTTACCTCAACGTATTTTGATTCTGATGGACATCATAGGACCAGGTTTTCAGAACTAATAGAAAAGGGATCAGATGTGTGTTGGCCTTTAATTTATAGGTACCTTTCTGAGATGATGCCATCATCTTCTGAAAAACAAAATCCATTGTTCTCAACATCTGTACAGTTGTCCACAATCAAAGATCCCATCTGTTAAAATTACAGATCTGCATTAAAATGTTATAATGTATGACTGATCAATCTTGTGTAAATAGTTCAAACTCACATTGCCAATCCTCCTTACAGTAACACTGTGAAAAAGCCCATCTGCAACTTGTTTAAATGTCTGCAACCTTACAGGTCCCGAGCCCAGGTCATAAGAGAGTTGTATTGTACCACCAAGTATCTCCAATGCCAAGAATTCTCTGCTGGTTGATGTTCCAGAATTATACAAGAGTAGGGAGTCTTTTTGCACTGTTGCAAACTCAAAATAAATTAAATTAGCTCTGCTATCCAGTGGGGGAAACTCTATGAAGGACATTTCTTCAAATCCGTAACTTAGCTCTTCACAGTGGATACCACTGACTCCTGAAAGAAAAATAAATTGCAGAAAATTCACTAGTGTGAAGTCATTAACTTTTTTTAAAGACAGATATTTTGGTGCTAATATGTGCAATAATACCAAAATCATCTTTTTGCATAAAAAATATTGATGTTAATGCAAAACAGAAGGAATAGAGAGCATTTTGCAATGACAATGTTAGAAAAGGACAATGAGTTTAGCATTTTAAAGGAGTCTGTGGCTCTACAGATTAACAGTATTGTTTATATTAGGCCACAACTTAAATATTGGTAATTTTGATGTATTAATTAAAAGTATTTTAACATGTAGATGTGACGCACAAGTGGCATGAAAGGGTGTTGGTCTACTGAGGATATTCAAGCTTTAAACCATTGGTCGCATCGAATAACTTTAAATCTTTATTTAAATTCATGCTGTGGTAGAATTGAGTTTCTGGCCACCATAATAATTGCTATCTGAGTATGCCTTAATTTTAGTGCCACCGACATGAGTGTGCAGTTACCAGTGTGAGCACGCAATGAGACCAGTGTGCAGCTGTCTGCGACGGGCTTAACTCTGTCAATTTTTGTTCCATCACCTGTGCACTTTTTAATGCGCTCAACAACATTTCTGTGCGCTCTTGGCTTCGTCTCTGCATGTGATTTGTTTAACAGTATTTATATGAACTACACCAACCAGCCAGCCACAGACAGGCCTTTTTGCATTGATGTGCTAAATGCTCCTTATTGTCAGGCCCCTGAAGGCAATGCTCTATGCAGAGCTGAACTGTCAAAGTTATGTCAGTATTAGAAATGAAGCTTCTGTTTATAGCAAAAATAAATCTCCTACGAACAATATTGTTTTCCTTGTTGCTAAATATATAATTTTTATCATATTTAGTGGAATAAATTCCGCTATAATTATTGTTCGTGGACTATTCACACTGATTATAACATTCAACCAATCCAATGGTTGAATAGCTTAAATATCCAATTAGGTACAAAAAATATGTGTTGCTGTGGGTTTTTCGATTAAAATGCGACCAATTTCGATTAATTAATTATAAACATGTGATTATTTACAGACCCTGGGGCAACAGTGGTATGGGAAGCAGGAGTTTGCCCTGAAATGTTGTTGTGTCCTTGGGCAGGACAATTCACCCAAATTTCCCACTGATGGTAGTTAGAGGGCATGGTGGCGCCAGTGTACGGCAGCCTCACTGTCCCAGGGCAGCTGTGGCTACAATGTTGCTCGCCACCATGCGTGTATGAATGAGTGAATGACTGAAAGTAGTGTAAAGCTTTTTGGTCAAGTCTCCTGAGTTGAAAAAGAGCTACATAAGTACAGGTCTTTTACCCTTTTTACCACTTAATTAACTTGATTAAAAATAATAATCCCATCCCACCACTAGTTTATCACAAATTGTTTTGCAATCATGTCATGCATTAGTAAAAAACACATTACATTGGTCTAAATGTAGATTATCATCAGATGTCACCAAGTCACTATATGCTTTTGAAAAAAAATTTATTCGAATTGAATGAACAAGTGACGGCCTATAATATTATGAATGGTTCTTCAGTATTATAACAAAATAAAAAATCTTAAATATATATAAAAATTTTTTTTACAAAAGCTCCAAACACATTAACAGCTCATTGTTTTTCCATTTTGGTTTTTCCATATTTCTTTTTAATCTTTCACGCTTGCATCACATTTATTCTCACCAAAGGGGCAGTTGCAGAGGAACCCTGTTTGTAGGTTAATGCACTGGCCCTGAAAACATGGTGTAGATCTGCAATGATCTTTGAGCCATTCACATCGTTCTCCTGAAAATATAAAGAAACAGGTTTTACAGGCATCTTAATCTTCATTTGGTAACACCTATTAAATGTTGTTTTTTGCAGGATTAACACTACCTTCAAATCCAGCCACACACTGACAGTAGTATCTCTCCTGCGACTGAATACACGTCCCACCATTTTGACACTTCACCTTAAGGCACTCATCCACATCAGCTGAGCAGAGAGAGCCAGAGAAGCCACTCTGACAGTAACAGTGAAAACTTCCAAATGTGTTTTCGCATGTGCTGTTATTTTCACAGGGATTCAGCTCACATTCATCAATGTCATCTTCACACAGTGAACCGCTGAATCCAATGGGACAGGTACAATTAAAAATCTCTTTCTGTGGTGACACAAAAATGACAGCCAGGCTTTCTAGGACAGCAACAACCTGGCTGATGTGAATGTTTTTGTTGCATGTGGCACCATTCTGGCAAGGGCTCATAAGGCATGGATCACTGGTAATGTGAGAAATTGTCACATTGCTTTGGGACTCCAGTAACCTCTTATGTCCAGCAGATATACTACTTGCTACCTTGTTGTTTAGATATTGCCCATTGTAGTTTTTCACAGCAGCAAGTAGTAGTATGTCCATGCCAATATGCTTGATTCCAAATACATGAGTCTTTGAAGCCTGAAGGTTGAAGAGGCTGTCCAGGGCTTTCACAAACTTTAAATAACTATTAGTTAAGAAGTTTTCCATTGAGGGTGAGAATATGTAGAATAATATGCAACTGTCTACAGATGCATTTGTAAAACCTTTGTAGTTTACATAGATACTGTTATTTACTGGAAAGTGAACCTGATCGGTTGCCTCCACTGTGACATTGAATGTGGCCTCTCCCTGAAAAGGGGACGACCATAGCTCACATGTGCCGTTGGGTATCTTAAACATGTTCATTGGGCCATTTTTAATGAAACACAGGAATATATCAGACTCATCATGATCCTCAGGATGCACGTTACCAATCATGCCTCCATTAAAAAAACTGCCAAAATATTTAACCTCAATAAAGATGTTTCGTGGTAATGGGGCGTTATCATTTTCATCCTCTACTATAACGTGAAGCGTTGTTGTTGAAGACAGTGGGATCGGAAACCCTGTATCTTTTACCACCACCTGCAATCGATAGTCAGAGATATGTTCCCGGTCGAGAACACGTGAGGTAAGTAAAACTCCATCCTGAGTAAGAAAAAAAGCACTTTCTGCTGACAGATTTAATAACCAAAAGATAAAAGGACCTTGATTTGGTGGTAAATCAAAATCAAAGGCGTGTAATTTGGCAACAATGGTTCCTTCAGGTTGATTTTCCTTTACTTGAAAATTAGTTGTCATGAGTTTGGGGGCATTGTCATTAATATCAACTATAGTCACAATCACATTTGTTGTCCCGGTGGCTGGTGGAGAACCATTATCAGTGGCCGTAACAGTGAGATTATAAGTAGGCCACAGTTCCCGATCAAGAGGAGAGTTTACTAAGACAATACCACTAAGTGGATCAATGGAGAAAGAGGAGTTTGTGTTTCCATCTACTATCGTAAAGAAGAATCGATTCCAGTGGAGTACGGAGTCATGGTCATAAGCACTTACATTTAATACAAATGTCCCAATTGGGCTGTCTTCCTTAACATTTGCCTCATAGCACGTGGAGCTAAAAGTTGGTGCATAATTTGTATCAATTACATTAATGTTGACCAATGTCTCAGCTATGTTTGTGCCATTTATAACGCCAGAGTTCTTTGCCAAGACCTTTAAAGTTATGTTGCTGTTGCCTTGGTTTCTCAAACTACCACTTGTATATATATCTCCAGTAAGTTGAACAACATCAAAGCCTAAATGCTTGCCATAGCCAAACATTAGATAAAACACCTCACCTTGAGGACCACTGTCATTATCAGTGGCTGCTACTTTTCCTATTGATGTTCCAACTGGAACATTTTTGAATACTGAAAAGCTAAAACTTTCTTGAATGAAGGTTGGGCTAAATTCATTAACATCCAAGACGTGAATGATGACATGAGCCAGACTGAACAAGGTGTGTTTAGCAGTGTTTGAAGCTTTCACTGTAATATCAAATATGTGTTTATGTTCATAATCAAAGACAACCAAAGTAGAAATAATCCCATTTCTTGGATCAAGTGCAAATTTATCCAAACTACCAGCAATCAGAGAGTAGGATATTTGTGCATTTATCCCTGAGTCCATATCAGTGGCCATCACATCTAGAATACTTGTTCCAATTTTTGAATTTTCCGTCACTGCTGTGAAATACTCAGACAACAAAAAGACCGGAGGATTGTCATTTACATCCATAACTATCACAGTAACATTCAACCAGGCATATTTAGATATCCATCCACCATCTGTTGCTTTTATACGCAGATAATAACTGCTTTCTTTTTCATAGTCAAGCTCTGTGGTAAGTGTTAGTAGCCCAGAGAATTTTCCTACAGAGACTGGAAAATGTTGATTTTCAGTACTTATGCAGTATGTAATTTCACCATTAGGACCATAATCCCAATCTTCAGCTTGAACTTTCCCAGCCACTGATCCAACAGGCAAGTCTTCTGGGACAGAGATTGTGACATCTGATTCACCAAACCTTGGAGAAAACTGATTATTCCCAATTATCTTAATGCTGATTTTAGTTTGAGAAGTTAATGGAGGAAAACCTTTATCTATGGCTTCAACTAATAAAGTAAGTGACTGATTTTCCCTTTCTGCTAGATTTTGATTTAGGAATACCTTTCCACTGTTGGTTTGAATCCCAAAGAGATCAGATGCATTACCTCCACTGACATTATACTCAATAAAATCACTGCTATTGACATCTGGATCTGTTGCAGTGAATTTTACTACTTCAGATCCTACCAGTAGATTATATGGAATGGCAATAAAGGCTGGTAAAGGCAAAAACATTGGAGGGTGGTGGTTAAATGGTTCTAATCTCACTGTGACACTGGTATTGCTGTGCAGAGGGATGCTGCCACAATCAAAGGCAGCAACTGTGAAGGTATAGATTTCAAAAGTTGAATTGTTTAAAATGAGAGGCTGCTTTGCAAAGACCTCCCCAGAAGAAGTATTTACCCCAAAGAAATCATTTGAGGGTTCAATTATATAGATAACCTCACTATTTAGTCCAATGTCTGCATCTGTTGCAGAGACCTGCAAAACAAAAGCCTCTGGGTGTTTGGTTTCAGGGATGACAACTGAATACAAATCTTTAGAAAAAACTGGTCTCATATCATTGAAATCTAAAACAAAGATAGTTGCATCAGTGCTAACACTCCATGCTGAATCATTGGCATTTACTTTTAATACATACTGATCTTGCTTCTCCCTGTCCAGAGACCTTTTAACGATGATGCATCCAGTGCTGGACTCAATATCAAAAGGGAGATTCTGATTATGGTCAGATATATGGTAACTAATTTCTGCATTAGAATCAGTGTCGTCATCGGTTGAGGTGATTTGCAGAACTGTGTAACCTATAGGAGCATCTTCAGAAACCTCTGCAAGATACATTTGAGACAAACTAGGTGCATTGTCATTCCTGTCCAATACAGCAATGATGACTGTTGCATGATCTGTATGAAGAGGGTTACCAGGCTCTGCCGCCTCAACTGTTAAATTAAAAAAAGGAATACTTTCTCTATCTAAACTTATGGTGGTGCTAACCAAACCATTTTCAGGGTCAAGCATAAAAGACTCATCGATATTTCCTTCTGTTATTTTGTACCATACTGTGCTGTAAGTGGGCGAATCTGCATCGATTGCAAGAACATCACAAACTATAGATGGTGGGGAATTCTCATAAATCTCACACCTGTATTCAGCTTGGGTAAACTGGGGGGGGTTATCGTTTACATCAGTTATATTTATTTGAATTTCTAAAAATGATGAAAATGGAGGCCAGCCAGAGTCCCTGGCTTCTATCAGTAGAGAAAATTCCCTTTTGCTTTCATAATCCAGTGAGTTGTGAACTGTCAACGCTCCACCTAATTGGTCTACATGAAACATGTCTTCAAAGTTTCCAGAAGCAAGATAAAAAGAAATGGGTTCAGCTCTGATGCTTGCTGCAGAAATAACAGCCACTACTGTTCCCACTGGTTGGTCCTCAAAGAGAGAATAACTCAAAACATCCACAGTCATCTCTGGGAAATCAGAAATGTTCTGAAATCTGATACTGATAGTAGTGGTGTCAAATTTGGGATTTTCACCCCCATCTTCTACATGCACATTGATAATAATATCCTCTGTCTTCAGTGAATTAGAAGTGAATACTGTGCCACTGTTTGGATCAATTGAAAACAGGTCTGAACTTTGTCCATATAATGAATAATGCAGCTGCGCATTCATGTCAGTGTCTCCATCAATAGCTTTCACTGCACAAACAACTGAGCCTATGGAAAAAATGAAACAAAAAAAGTTAATTCTATTCAAAACAGTGTCACCTTTACTGTCACAAGGGAGCAGCGCATCTTACCTGGAAGAAACTCTGTGGGTACATAAGCTACGAAGGGACTATCCAGAAACTGAGGCCAGTTGTCATTAATATCACCAACCAGTACAGTAACAAGTGCAGAGCTTGAAAGAGGTTGTGTGGGATGCATGTCGGTTCCAATCACTGTCAGTGTGTAGAAGGCTACAGTCTCCCTGTCTAGAAAATCAGTTGAAAACAGTTCTCCAGATGCTTCCTCAATAGCAAAAGGTGCATCCATGTTTTCCATTGAATACCTAATTAGGAGACAAAATTTAACGTTCTTAGTATGTCGTGCCTCATAAAACAATAAAGCCTCTGAACTTTCACATTTTGTCAAGGTGCAACCATAAAGTGATGTGATTTATTCTGTTATGTGGCAGACCAATGCAAAGTAGAGCATAGTTATAAAGAAAAAAAACTATTCATGGTTCCCTTTCTTTCTTTATAAACAATCGTCAAAAAAATATGACAGAGGTGTATATTCAGCCCCACCGGGTTTGAACTTGCTAAGTCCACCTTTAGCTGCATTAAAAGCTGCATTCCTGTTAAGGTAGATTAAAAGGAATAAGCATTTCCAGCTTTTTAGCTTTTATTGTCATTACACTGTCACAAGTACAGAGCAACAAAATTAACTCTCTGCCTTTAACCCATCCCCTTGGGAAGCAGTAGGCTGCTGTTGTGCGGCGCCTGTGGAGTAGTGTGGGGTTAAGGGTCTCAGTGACCCAAAGTGTCAGTCTGTGGGAGTGGGGCTCAAAAGCAGAACCTCAGGATTCCAAGCTCTATGCCCTAATCACTTGGCCGCCACTCCCACACATTTATTTCTAAACTTTGAATAAGCCATTCTAAAACTTATTATTATTACTAATGATGTTTTGTCCTTAACCATTCCTTACATTTGTTGAAGAGTTTTAATTGATGATCTATTACCTTAGATCTTAAGCTAAATGTCTGTTTGTGTCCGTTTGGCTGCTCCTGTATTCATACGTTGCCACATTATGATTTCCTCAGACTTGACAAAGTTTTTACACCACTAGCTGTCCCTGACACAACCAGGATTTAAACCTGGTCCCCACATTACAGTCAGTGACTTAGGCCACTTCATCTTGTGGATAACATTATATCTTAAGGTAAACTATCCAGAAACTGAGGCCAGTTGTCATTAATATCACCAACCAGTACAGTAACAAGTGCAGAGCTTGAAAGAGGTTGTGTGGGATGCATGTCGGTTCCAATCACTGTCAGTGTGTAGAAGGCTACAGTCTCCCTGTCTAGAAAATCAGTTGAAAACAGTTCTCCAGATTCTTCCTCAATAGCAAAAGGTGCATCCGTGTTTTCCATTGAATACCTAATTAGGAGACAAAATTTAACGTTCTTAGTATGTCGTGCCTCATAAAACAATAAAGCCTCTGAACTTTCACATTTTGTCAAGGTGCAACCATAAAGTGATGTGATTTAGGGTTTGAACTTGCTAAGTCCACCTTTAGCTGCATTAAAAGCTGCATTCCTGTTAAGGTAGATTAAAAGGAATAAGCATTTCCAGCTTTTTAGCTTTTATTGTCATTACACTGTCACAAGTACAGAGCAACAAAATTAACTCTCTGCCTTTAACCCATCCCCTTGGGAAGCAGTAGGCTGCTGTTGTGCGGCGCCTGTGGAGTAGTGTGGGGTTAAGGGTCTCAGTGACCCAAAGTGTCAGTCTGTGGGAGTGGGGCTCAAAAGCAGAACCTCAGGATTCCAAGCTCTATGCCCTAATCACTTGGCCGCCACTCCCACACATTTATTTCTAAACTTTGAATAAGCCATTCTAAAACTTATTATTATTACTAATGATGTTTTGTCCTTAACCATTCCTTACATTTGTTGAAGAGTTTTAATTGATGATCTATTACCTTAGATCTTAAGCTAAATGTCTGTTTGTGTCCGTTTGGCTGCTCCTGTATTCATACGTTTTCACATTATGATTTCCTCAGACTTGACAAAGTTTTTACACCACTAGCTGTCCCTGACACAACCAGGATTTAAACCTGGTCCCCACATTACAGTCAGTGACTTAGGCCACTTCATCTTGTGGATAACATTATATCTTAAGGTAAATGGTTACATTTTATTTTATTTAGGGGTATCAGGGTGAAGAGGGGTACATGTAAATACCAACCAAATTTTTTACAATTATATTAGTAGGAAAAAAAAAACTTCACCACGTTTTGTTGGTCTGCCACATAAAACCCTTTTTTAAAGTGACTGTTCACCTGACTTCACTGCTCACGCCCTCGTCAGCATCAAATGCTGATATCATTGCAAACACTGTGCCTATTGGACTGTCCTCAGATACTATAGTGTTGTAGAGGTCCTCTGAAAACTCAGGAGGGTTATCATTGACATCATCCACAAGGACATGGATTGTCATTGTGCCGGTTAGGGGGGGCAAACCTTCAAATATACAAAGTTATATTAATGGAGTTAAATTTATTTGAAAAAAATATTTTTTAAATGTTATTTATATACTGACATTGCACTAACTGCAGTTCTTCTGTAACATGTATTACCTGAATCAGCTGCTGTGATGATGACAACATAAAATGATTCTTTTTCCCTGTCCAAGCTGTGTAAAATCTTAAACACACCATCAGGAGTGACAGAGAACAGACCATCACTCTTATCTTTGTGTATAAAATAATGAAGCTGACTGTTGATCCCAAGGTCTTGATCCAAGGCTGAAACCTACAAAACAAAGCAAAGGATTGTTACATATGGATAAATAAGATTAAAAGATTCTGTTCACTTGGCATGAGGCGGTTCCATATATCTAGGAATATACCTTATTCTCATCCCTGTAGGATTAATTGTGGATGCAGCTTCTAGTAAGATTTAGAAGTAAAGCAAATTTTTGTAGGTAGTCATATTTAGCAAGTGGTATTTTTAACTAACTGAATTAGTTTTACTAAATGTCTATTTTAATGCTGCTCTCATGTTCAGATAAATCCCAACTTAAACATGAACCGAAAGAGAAGTGAAATTGTTCCTTCAGTTGGCGGCTTCAATATGGCTGCTGCTTTAAAAAAAAAACACAAGAAAGAAAGCCCTTTGGCCCACAATGTAGCATCCATCAGGGAGGAAATATTGGCTTCTCAATAGAGTTTCTTACTTTCTGTCAACTTCTTTACATTTCTGTCATGTGTGACACGTCATTAAAAAAGTTTATACAGATTACTAGTGCAAAAAATATTAATTGGTAATCAGTAATGTTTTTTATGCTTATTTATTTTAAAAGAACTGTCATAATGCATGCAGTCATGCAAGTCAGCTTCAATGAATGATAGTTGCACCTACTGTATAATTGTTACAAATCATAAAGGACTGTAGAAATAAGGTGGATTCCAAATTCTATTAGTAACCTATAAATATCTTACGTCATACAATATCTGCGGTTCAAAATCCTTGTAATGGCTTCACAATGAGAGCAGAGTCAGTTTTTCCTTTCTTTATATTGAAAAGATTGACATTATGCTGCCTCTACGCCACCTTCTGCTGTACGCTACCAGTCATCCAGATAAGAAACTCTTTTTTACATTCTCTACTTTACAAAGAAGACAGATCGGATGTTTAGAAATGTTTCTTAAGAGCCAAAGAGCTGTAGCTTGCTGCCCAAAGGAGCCCTATCTATTACTTTTATTTGTTTTCAAACCAAAAACAAGAAATACATTGGTGGCAAAATATCTGCAATCTCAGCAGATAGCACAATTTGGCAGATGACTAGGAGGTTTTTATACTTTCATTACTTTGTATATGTTTATATATTTTCAGCAAAGTCTACTTATGAATATGTTTACTAAATACAATCTTGATATATTTAATAAAACTGTAACAGTAATATTTACTTTTTCAAGTGTTACAGCTGTAACACCATAAAACCATGGTAATTTTCCTAAGGCATATCATACAGTGACAGTTTCATAAAGGCCCATGCCTAATGGCGTCTACATCAAGTATGAAGCATGAGTTATGGTGGTACCTGGTATGTAAGCTCAGATGGATTGATTTCATTCTCCTTCACATGAATGATCAGGGTTTCTGGAGAAAGCAGCGGCGTCACGTCATTAACATCCAGCACTGTGATGCTAATAACAGTGGTAGCAGATCTAGGTACATCCCCTTGATCGACAGCAGTTAAAATTAAGGTGTAATTTGACATTTTTTCTCTGTCAAGTTTATCCATGATGTACAGCACACCTCGAACTCTGTCAACCACAAAAGGACCAACCGGCGTCAACATGTATCGCACTAGTCCATTTGATCCAATATCTTGATCCCATGCCTTAACGTGAATGAGAATTGTCCCTCTTCGAACATCTTCTTTGATGAGCAGACTGTAGTTGCTTTGTGAAAACACAGGTTCATTGTCATTTACATCCTCGACATGGACCATGAAAGTCATTGTGCTGGTCATTTGAGGTGAACCCATATCAGTAGCTATCACGGTAATATTCAAAGTGTCCACCTTTTCTCTGTCAAGTATCTCCTCCAGGAAAGTCTCTCCACTTCTGTCATCAATACTGAATGTCCCTCTAGAAGTGTTGCTTAAAAAATACAAAATCTCTGCATTGGATCCTGCGTCTTTATCTTCAGCATGTACAGTCATAATAACGGAATGCAATGCAGAGTCCTCCGGTATACTAACATGTTTGGCAGACAGAAATAATGGAGCATTGTCGTTGATATCCTCCACTATCACAACTATATGTGCTGTGCTGGTGAGCTGTGAAGTCACTGGCAGGGCACAATCATTGACTGTGACAGTCAGATTAAAGGAAGCTTGACTCTCACTGTCCAGCTCTTTGTTCAGGCATAAACTACCAGCTGAGTGTATGAAGAACATGCCCAGCTCATCACCGCTGGCAACCATCAGTTCCACTTGTCCATTTTCACCTAGAAGGAAGAAGACAAAAATACTGTATATTATATATTAAATGTCATTAGTCTTCAGATTTATTCAACCTACTATGCATAAATCATAGCCATAAGATAAAATGTATAAAAGACTGATCTTTAAAATGTGTTTTCTCATTTTAACCCTGATCAAGAAATCAGAATAGAGAGAAAGGTTCTCACATAGTTTTGTCATATATTAAAACAAAAGAAGTGAGTTTTACTCGTAGTAACTTTACAAATGCATCTGTATTAACATCAACATTTCAATACAAGGAAATATGATTTTAGCAATTCTGGCTTAGTTTTGATAGACAGGTTTATATGGCTCTCATTAGCTACTTAAAGGAGAAGTTTGGTTTTTAACACTTTTAGCCCATTTTCTGTAGTGTCCAGGATGAAATCGAATGATCGACACCAAAATTTTGACAATTGGTCCTGTCTCTGCTTTTTGGCTCATTTAGAATCCACCCCTGGCTGCTTTAGAATGGCTTCCATAGAGCATGTCCGATAATGTCCTTAAAACAACCTTAAACGTTCTTTTTTTAAAATATGCTACTCACCGGGTCGTCAGCGCTGTTCAATGACGTTCCAAAAAAAGTTTCGTAAAGAAAAAACATTCCTGTAGTGTTTTATTTAGCATTTTGTAAATCCCATTGAGTTCTGTTGGAATAGTCAATATTCCCCTGCCACCGGAAACGGAAATGGGGCCTGTTTACACAGTTGTAGTCTTTTCGCTTCACTCTGTGTACTCCGACGTCGAGAATCAAGAATCCACCTTTCGTATTCCATTTTCAGAGTTTTTTAAAGTGTTTAACAGAGACGTTAGCACCTCGAAAATTGTAACTGAACGTTTTACAAAAAAATAAACTATCCTCTTTTTGTAGGATATGTTGCATTTCAAGATGTGAAGAGGTGAGATAGTGAAGCATGCACAAAGAATCGGATGTATTGAATAGGGAAAGAATTAAAACATGCAAGACCAGAACTTGACAACAATTACTTAATTTCCAGGCTTCCATGCCGTTGAAAAATACCTAAACCTCAAACATTATTGCCTTCGTCTATATATCAAAATCAGGACAATAGGGTAGGAACTTGCTTCCTATTCTGCAAGAGTGAACCTTAGGGATTTGTTTCTTTTTTTAATTTATCCTTGATTTACATTAGTTTCAGAAGTAAAGTATGAAGTCTGGATTTAAAGAAAATAATTAAATGACTTGAAGAAGTCCTGTATACCATGGTAGACTCTTACCATCATCTTTGTCTGACACATTCAGAGACAGGAAGGAAGTTCTGACACGTGTGTCCTCCAGTAGTGATGCAAAGTAGTTGCTCCGACTGAAAACAGGAGGGTTGTCATTGACATCGAGCACATTAAAGTAGACTCTGGCACTGGATGCTTGTAAGTCCCCCTGCTGCCCCTCCACTGTGAGAATGTAAAACCTTTGTGTTTCAAAGTCCAGGTTACGGGATAAAAGGAATTCCCCAGAGATGGGGTTTAGAAGGAACATGTTCTCCCCATCGTCCTCCTGAACCGAGTATGTGATAGGTGTGGGAAACTCCATCTTCGCTTCCAGCTTTCCCACAACAGTTCCTAGAAACACAAATGCAGATAAGTGCTCTGTGATCCAATAAAACGAAAAAGAAATGAAAAAAAAAAAAATTGTATTTATGTTCGCAGTGTGAAGACAAAATAAGATAAAACAAGAAGATACTTTGAGCATGAGATTAACTGTTGTTAACAAACATCCATGTTTTCTAACAGAAGAAGAGATGCGAACCTGGCATAGTGTCCTCCTTTACTTGAAATGAATAAACAGTTTTGGAGAAAGCCATCTGTGCTTGCCATCTGCTATGAGCAAACGAGCTGATGGCCCCATGTTTCAGCTCTGCATCGACAGATGTATTATACCAGGAAGGAAGCTTATGCTGCTTAACATCAGAAAATTCTCTCCCACTTCTCAGATTCTCTGAATTTACCAAAAAAGGCTCATGACAGACCACCATATTAAAACCCTGTGTAATTATGAGATAAAAACAAACAATCTTTAATGCATTTTAGTAACCACATACACATATATGTATATATATATATATATATATATATATACATATAAATGTTATTAAAACTTGTACTCAGGTAAGAACAGCATAAGCTTAAAATGTGTTATCTCTAGTTAAAGCAAAAAGCTGATTAAATTTTATTATGAACCGAGTAACATTTCATAATATCATGTTTAACTAGAAAATTTCTAAAGAAATTTTGAGGGGGGCCACCTACTGCCCGTCTGGGTAACTGTGCCAATACGGCCCTGGCAAGTGACATTGGGGCTCCCCAGACCAACTGCTTACGCCTTTGAGGGC